CCTCCTCCTCCCCCTTCTCCTCCTCCTCCTCCTCCTCCTCCTCCTCCTCATTTTTATATGACTAGAGAGCAGGGAGCTACAGTTTTCATCTACTCCTATGATTTCTTATAACAAGGAAAACATTTTTGTAGCAAGATGGCGTTGTTTCAAAGAAATATTCTAATACCCAGTAGTTAATTATAAATGATTTCATGAAATTACCTGTAAAATGTATCATACTCATCAGTTGTACATTTATGTTGCCATTTAGCTACAGAGGGCCCTTCAAAATTTTGTTCATCATAGTTTTCATTCATGTGAAACTGAAGTTAATGATAAAATGATTCAGGTTATAAAGGCCCTTGAAAAGTCAAATTCCTATTCAAAATCTTGGGAAAAGTTTGGAGAAAAAAAATGTGTGTGAAAAATTTGCAAATAAAGGAGCAGAACAATGTGTAGTTTTGATTCTGCACTAATTATGTCTCTGCTGAATGTGAAAATAGGATGTGAATGATGCCATTGTGCCTTCTGCATCCCTTTGAGTCTATCAGTACAATGTTTTTTGTCCACTTGACAAGCAAAGAGCTGCAGTACATGTTTATCTATACAGAAGCAATTCTACAGTGCAAACACGTACACCAAATACGAGCGATCAAGTGCCTATAAACTGTCTGTGTTTGCTCAAGGAAATTGCTTTTTGGGGTTTGGAACGGGCCATCGAGCATAGAAATGAACACAATATGCAGTACGTATGTAAATCTGTACCTGGTACACAAACAAGTTGGCCTCATAGAACTGCATATTGCTCATATCTTCAATGAGATTCATCAGTGTAGAAATATGTGATATCAAAGTTTTACTTTCTACACAAACAATGTACATATAAAACATGTCGCAACGATTCAAGACCGACAGGAAAAGGGACCAGTCGGTCTTGAAACGTTACGACACGTTTAATACATATTAATATATTGCTCACCTTAGAGATTTTTTTATACGAATATGTGGAAAAATCTGGGGACAACAAATATTGTGTTTTGAGGCGGCTTGCCTCTGACATCATCAATATGAATTTGGTGATTTGTATACGAATTTGGTGATTTGTATAGTCTTCTTTCGTTTGATAAAATAGATTTTGTTGTACATGTACTGCAAATTTGATGGGCAAGTAAGTGTACTGAGGTTCTTGTCTTGATTTCATGCACGCCGTCATATATAACTAATAATAAATATTGTGAATCTTTAAGCTGTACACAAAATTTGGGATAATTTGTTAAGGAAAAAATGTAAATATTCTTTAATAATTGTTATTCTATCGTCTTGTTTCATTGAGGTCACATAATGAATAAGTCAATTGTACAGCTGGGTAGCCTGGAACAATCGGGGTCAAGTACTAGTGTAAGGACACAACAGCTTACTATACTACAGCTGGGTAGCCTGGAACAATTGGGGTAAAGTGCTTGTGCTTGTGTAAGGACACAACAGCTTACTATACTATTGCAAACATGTTTCAGACATAAAATCTTCAAGTCAGACTGCCAAATTCCTGAACGTGCTTATAATGATTGAATACTGCCTGTTTCAATATTTGTGAAAACTGGAAACTCCTTTGCAGTTTGGTACATGTACCATGTGTGCTATGGAGATTTTAACTTGAAGCTTGCGTAACATAGTTTAGCTTCCACCTGATCAACATGAGGGTTTACATATTCTTAATGACCTCAATGTAAGTACAAAAGTTTATCTCTTACAAAAAAATAAATATGTATATATAATGAATCATCAATATTACAGAAAATTCTGATTAACATTAGGGTTGGTCTAAATACCAAGCCGGGCTAATCACCTTTAACGTACAGTATAAGACCACTGTAAGTGATTACAGTACACTTGAGATACATCCTCCCACCTGGGCCACCGTCACCGACTTTATGGTAATTCACTTACAGCCATACCAATAATCCAGGGGTGTGAACTGAACTGGGTTTAACCTGTATGGGTCGCTTTAATATATAATACATATTACGGGTGACGTCAACTGACTGGATATTAGATTATAGAGGCGATGACTAAAAACGTGATATAGATATGACTGCCAAGCATTAATACCAACTTTAAGTCAATTCTAGATCTCATTGAATACTTTACGGTAAAGGGAACCAACAAGTCAATCTGTTTTGGCAAATGCATAGCAACATGTGATTTTTATGGAATGTTTCTTTTAAAAATGGCTTAAATAATTTAAGATATATATTTAAGCCATTTTCGATAGAATTATTCCATAAAAATCACATGTTGCTATGCATTTGCCAGAAGTGAAGTTGAAAGATAAATAAATATGTGAGAGTCGAACTCAAGACCTGTACATTTTGAAGCCTACACTTGACCAGTGTTGCATTTAAGCATCAAAGTGAGTGATTATAACGGATGCAGTGGTATCACTTACCTTAATGGCCCCGGTGCAACAACTTGGACATAACAAGGTTGAATGTGAAAACTGGTATATATATGTGAATCACGTATATAACATTTACATATAGGTAATGGCTACAGTTTCACCACAGGTTTTAGATATATCTACACCTTTGTGTGCATACGCTTCACTAGTCATTTGTCTGATGAAGGTGACAGTGTACATATCGTACTAGTCATCGAAACGTCACATAGAAAATGTTATTGGTTGTGTAAAAAGAACTTCCCATGAAGGTTTTAGACATATGGTGTTCTATAGATCATAGTACATTTTTGAGGTCTGACTTTTGAGGTAAAGGTCACAGTACATGTACATGTATACATGCACATAGTCAAATTGAAATAATTGAATGAAGCCTTTTGTCAAATTGAAATAATTGAATGAAGCCTTTTGTCAAATTGAAATAATTGAATGAAGCCTTTTGTCAAATTGAAATAATTGAATGAAGCCTTTTGTCAAATTGAAATAATTGAATGAAGCCTTTTGTCAAATTGAAATAATTGAATGAAGCCTTTTGTTTCAAAGTTTGGCTCTAATGTCATTGCCTCCCCACCCCTACTTGACTTCACTACAATGTATAGTGACATGAGCATATTTTTATGAACATATTGATTTTATCATTACCAAACTTACAGCCAAAGTTAATCATGCAAATTTCGGGTAACAGTTTACCAAAATAGATCAATTTGATTAAATTCCTTGTGAAGTTTACATATCTGCTTGGTTAATAGTGTGGAAACCTTTCAAATAAAGCTAATTAATGTTGAGAGAATTACTGAGTTTATTGACAAAAAAAAATGCTTGTTTGTTTTAGATGGTGGTCCTTATGGATCCAAGTGACTCGGAACATGATGACGTTCTACGGGCCAATCGATCACGGGAGAAGAAGTTTGTGTTTGACTATACATTTGACAGCAATGCGTCACAGGTAAGCATTTTCTCAGACCGATGTGTTTTTAGGTCACCTGAGCTTTAGCTCAAGTGACCTATTGCTATCCGTTTTCGTCCGTCGTCGTCCGTCGTCCGTCGTCCGTCGTCCGTCGTCCGTTAACATTTTACATTTCAAACTTAAAGTCAAGTTCTGCTGGGCCGATTGAACTGAAAGTTGATAGGAATGATCGCCTCATGGTCCTGACAAAGTGTTGTTATTTTTCGGGTCGATCAGAAATCCAATATGGCCGCCACGGCCGCCATTTTGAAAACCTATTTCAAACTTAAAGTCAAGTTCTGCTGGACCGATTGAACTTAAAGTTTGTAGGAATGATCGACTCATGGTCCTGACAAAGTGTTGTTATTTTTCAGGTCAATCATAAATCCAATATGGCCGCCACGGCCACCATTTTGAAAACATATTTCAAACTTAAAGTCAAGTTCTGCTAGGCCGATTGAACTGAAACTTTGTAGGAATGATTGACTCATGGTCCTGACAAAGTGTTGTTATTTTTCAGGTCGATCAGAAATCCAATATGGCCACCACAGCTGCCATTTTGGTAAACTATTTCAAACTTAAAGTAAAGATCTACTTGGCCGATTGAACTGAAACTTTGTAGGAATGATCGAATCATGGTCCTGACAAAGTGTTGTTATTTTTCGGGTCAATCAGAAATACAATTTGGCTGCCATGGCCGCTATTTTGCTACTAAGTTCTAATAGGCCGATCTCACTTAAAATTGGTCTAGGAATGATCAGCTCATGGTCCTGACAAAGTTAAGTTAACATTATACTATTTTTTACTCAAATTGGTACATATTTCAACAACAAAAATAAATACTATAGACTCAGGTGACCGTTAAGGCCCATGGGCCTCTTGTTCTTTATCATACTCTGTGTTTATCATTGTTGGAGACGTTGAACACTCTCAGGAATCAGGTTTTAAGGAAACGTTAAGGTCATGAGAACGGGGTGGGACAGGGGTGGGGTTATAACCATTAGAATTGGGTAAATTAATTTAAATTAAATCAAAATTGCAACTTAATCTTTAACATTATTTCATTTTATTGATACTTTTTGGTCAAAATAGAGGCCCTTTTAGATGTAGTCACAGAGTGTCACCCAACAGAGAAAAAAAAATGTAAAAAATGTAGGATTGGTTGCCATGGTAATAACAAGTATAGACACAACAGTCTATAGGTTGTTTTATAGTCTATTTTGAAGGCTACTCTACGTCAATTGCAGGCATTAATTGACCATTTTCAATCTAAGTATAGCCTCTCCTGTTTTATTTATCGGTATTTTATGCAGTCATTTAAAAATTCATGGTGTATGATTCTTCAGTGCTAAATCTGTCCTGGTGCCATGTTTCTGATTGGGCTTGGTACATATTCAGTAAAAGGTTGATCTCTTTCACCCCTGAAATTTCATTATGAACTATTCCAACCTTTGAATTGGAAGAGTTCAAATGTGTTTTTAGGGGTGAATGAGTTAATGGCCTTGCTTCCCACTTGCTGTTGCTAGCCAGGTATACGTACACACCAACCTGTTGACTGCCAGAGACACTTTGAGCTGGAATCCATGTATAACTAATGTGTGTGCATCTGTTGTGAACAGCTTGTTTTTCTTCATCCTGTGCATTATTGATGAGTACTCTCTATTCTGGTACTCACGTGAATGACTTGATTACAACACGCAGGGCACACAGGCTAAAGTTTGTCTAACACCCTACTGCTAGGTTCAAGCTAAACTTAACTATAACTACATTTAGACTCAACTTTTGCTGGAATCCGTGACATATTTTGGATTATAAAATGTGAAGAAGAAGAATACCTATTTACAAAATGCTATGGTGATATAATCCATTGATGGAAGGAAATTTGACTTTGATCTTCATTGTACTTCATTAGTTTTTACACGTTTTATCTCTTAAGACGCTTTTTTTTTGTTTCCTCTATCGTAGTAACTGTTCTGGGTCTCTAGTTGTGTGCATTTGCTGAGCTTGATATAAGGAGATATTTTCCTTGAACTGAATTAGTTAAGCACTTCATTGGTTTTAGTTTCCCAGTGAACCGAAAGAAATCCTCCCTGTGGAGAAATTTCAGTTAAAAAATATCTTGGTGTAAATGTTTTCGGAAACTAAAGGCAGGAGAAACTCATTAGACCTTACAAGAAAAAGTCATATAATTACAAATGATGAAATAACACAAGGACTTAGAAAACACATATGGATATTAGGAGATAGCTGTGAACAGTGGCTGAAGCCCTGCAAGTCCAAGCTTTCCATATCAAAATAATAATTAGCAGTTTTATTCTATTTTATATTGAAAATTTAGAAACGGGACAATGGGACTGTGATGTTAATTTCTCTCACTGATAACATGATTAACGCGTACGCCACTCTATAACTCTGGACAATACCCAGGTTCTAAGCATCATCTCCATTGTACTGCATTAAAACTGGAAAATAGACGTCTCATAATGACTTTCTCTTGATATTATGAGACTTAGCCGATAGCTACAAGCCGAAATCAATTCAACTTAATTTCCTATAGGATATTGGTGTTTGCCAGCATTGATTTAGGATGAAGTGATTAAGTCTATAGGAGTGTTATTATGTATGACAATCTGTACTGGCTGGTGGTATCAACCAACCGCTGCCAAATAACGGTACAGATGGCCCAATGGAACTTGTTGCTTATAGGTTGTAGTGCTTTGCAGTATCAAATTGTACCACAGATCTAATGAATCTCCTACTTGAATACATACTTGTTTAGTTTTAAACTTAGCTTGTGGTACAGTAATTATAACCATTGTAACATGACATGATATCCCACCAAAACTTACTTTTATACAAACTGTGTAAGGTATCATTGGATCCCGGAATCTTCATACCTTTTGTTAATAAGATTAGAATCATGCTGCAGAAACAGCACGCAATGGGTAAAGCATGCCACATCCTACCTCAGCTTCACAGAACTTGAGTAGCTGGTCGGTTTTCCATTTTTGTTAGGTCTTGTATCATCATATCTTATTGTTCAATTTATTACCTGAGGTAAATTAGAATAAAGGCGGTTTAAACTTTAAACATATTTATGAAAGCTTATCGCTTTTTCCAATAGCTGAATTTGTATAAAAGGCTAATGTCTTCTTTGCAGGTTATTTAGCGTGTGTTAAATTATTCCCATTCCATTGCAATGGGGAGTGAACTAACTTACATATCTGATAAATGTGTAAATGAAATGGCCAGGGAATGATTACATATTGAGCACATCAATATGGCATGGTGGAAAAAGAAAAAAATATGAATTGGGAAAACTTAAATTGAAATGGTTTTTCATAGGCTATTCATGGAATGCTGATCAATATGTCTTGTCTGTATGCATGTTGTCATTAGCTATAATGAAGTGGTGGAAATTAATAAAGAGAGAGAAATTGATTACTGGCAGTGATGTGTATCAACACTAGGCACAGCCTCATCCATCAGGCACACACATGTTACACGGTCATGACAACAGAGTAATATTACCATGTCAGAATGATCAATGTTCCCAAAGGGAAACCTTTTTTTATACCATTGGTTCTTTTAACTTCCTGTTTCTGGATTATTCTTTAAAGCTTCTAATCTATGTGGGTAAATGAAATTTCTGAGTCTTTGGTCATTCTTTAAAGCTTCTAATTTACATGACTAGATGAAAATTCTGGGCCTGAATTGAAAGAGAAAAAGTTTCGAATCTTCCAATGTCCCAGATCATAATGTGAATTAAGGATTCAAGCATATGCATGAAATCAGTCTTGCACAAATTTATTATCCTTATACATGTTTTCAACGCTTTGTGTATTAAATTTCCACCTCCAGGGCAGGAAAATATCACAGATACAGTTATTCTTTTTTTCAAGTACATTTCCTTCAGGAAAAGGCAGAAACAGTTGTTCTTCTTTTCAAGGACATTTCCTTCAGGAGAAGGTATAAAGCTATATTGAGAGGAATTAAGTTACTTGTCTCAAAAAACAGGTGCTTATTACAATTTAATTAGATAAGTACTGTTTTAATAGGAGGTCGGCAACGGTTTACCTCACCTGGTACAGGTATAGAACTCGCAGGTTCAAAACAAGATCTCGGTGCAGCTTAAATATTGGTTAATTGTGGGTTTTTTCAAAGGCAAAAATGTTGTACATAATACATAAGGTAACATACTTTTTAGACAATATGTCAACATAACATAATACTCCAAACACTGATCAACCCTACAGTTTAACAGAGGTAAATCTGTTCAGAATTCTTTTCTGTGTCGCGTGTCATTTGTCTTTCGGTGACCTCCTGTCAGAGGTCAACCATGTTTTCAGTAGAGGCTAATGGCCGATCTCGTCATCTTACGAACCGGCATAGACTGATATAATGGATAGGTAATAATACTTCAAAGCACCTTTGTACCGTAACAATAGTGTTGGGTTTGGTCTTACAGAGCTTGTCCTTTGTTATAAATCACAGATTTTGTCTCAGACAATGACCTTTTGACAATTTGGTACAGACATGTACAGCCAAGGCCACCCAGGGCCCAGTGTGTTTTGAATTAAATTTGAATATATAACGGTCGCATTCTTAGGTAGGTACCGGTCACAATGTGGGATGTGCGAGATAAGGTAGACTTTGTGGTGATCTTTTTGTTGGTAGCTGTAGTCAATATGCAAGACATGCCGCAAAACGTTCTGCTTTGTCATGCAATTTAAAACAGCTAACATGGCAAAGTTTTACCATTTAAATAAATGAAAGAAATAAAAGTCTTCTAAACCAACTTGAGTCTTTGAATTCATTTGTACATTCAGTGAAGTTGTGATTGATGTGAAGATTACACGAGACTGTTTGATCAGAACTAGATAAGCCAGGCATGGTGTTTTGGATAAATGCCAATGTTGGATATATCGGGTGATTGAGTTCATTGGTATTGCTTGATATAATTAAACCTGTCATTCTGTTATTTTTAAAAACTTTCCTGA